TCGCACCGAGCCCATCCCGGAGCGCCCTCGGGCTGGTCCCTTCCCGGGAGCCATCCTGAACCAGCCGTGGAGTCCCGGTGTGCGGAATTCTCCGAGTGCGGCCAAAGGGGCGGATTTCAGCCGAACCACGGAGCGGGACGGAGCCGGCATGGGCGGCGGGGTCACAGCCCGGGAGTTTGGGAATTAGGGGGAACTAAAAACAGCTGGAGCCGGCGGGGGATGAAGTGGGAAAGGGGAACACCAGGCTGGGATGGGGCACAGGGACCCGTTTGGAACACGCTGTTAAAATCTACTCTTCACACAAAATTTCTCCCCGGGAGCTGCTTTTCATACCTGCTAAGGTTCCAGGAGCTGCTCTGAAACTGAGAGAGGCCCTGTCCGTACTCTGGTTCCAGCAAGCTGTAATTTTTGTGGAAAACGCATGCTCACCTCTGGAAACGGAGGGATTTCCATAGGATCTACTGGTTCTACTAAATCCCATCCCATTCCACCCCTCCCTGGGCAGGGACACCTCCCAGAGCCCAGCTTTCCTTCACTGAACTGTTTCAAAGCAGCCCAAACTAAATAATGCACAAATCCCTCTGCAGTGTAGAATAAACCAACAAACCTCATAAATAATAAATAACTTTATTAAAGAATTGCATTTTCAGATGATTTTACAGAGCACAACTTGTGCCTTACATTGGAGAACAGTCTTGGTGTAGCAAAGGGATCTGGAGGGAACATTCACCTCTTCCCACTGTCACTTCAAACCGAGGATGTGCTTGCTTTATTTCACACAAAAATCCGAGTTATCAGGTGAATTTTCAATTTAACAGCAGCAGCTCTCCAAGACTGTTGCTGTTAATTACTGAGATTATCTCCTAAATTAATTGCAGAATCCACATTGTCTCCAGCGGATGGAAAACGAGTCCCTGGGTTGAGCTCTGACTTTAAGGGGTGTCCAACCCCCCCGACCCCCACTGCTCATTAAAGGGTTCAATTATTGCCATTAATATTGATCACATCAACTTATTGCCACTGATACTTCTCTAATTCAGGAAGAGACTACAAGCAAATAATTGTCCCTCCCTTCTCAGAGCTCAACAGAAGAGCTGCTGATTGGGTTTGCACATTAATAGCATTAATTAATTAAAATTAAATAACCTTAAGCAGGAAGATTAAATATGATTTAGAGGCTTTTTAGCCAAAAAAATATTACTCTTAACTTACTAAACTCTATTTTATCATACAAACAGTACTTTTAAAGGCTACATTATAATGGTGCCTTGGATTTATATAAAGCTTTAGTGTTATTTATATTATTTAATTTACAGAAATTCTTTCTGCTACACCACAGGGATAATTCTGCATGGTAGAAACCCAGGATTTTCCTGCTCTCAGGCACTGCTGGCTCTCCTAAACTCCTATCAAATGTAGATTTAGGGTCATTCTACCCCCAGTAAAACACAAAGAACACAGAAAGGAGGGGTTCCTGTATCCAGGGCTCTTCACAACACAAGAAATGGTGAAATCATTCCAGTTAAGCTCATTTCTCCCATGTATTTTTCCCATGAGTAATTCCTAGTTGCAGCTGATCTCAGGACACTGATATTACTACAGGATAATTACAGTAATTAAATACTACAGACAATCCTCAAAATGGAAGATGATGGGCTAACTCCACAAAACAAAGGATCAGGAATACAAAGCTGACAGTTCAGGCACAGGAAATGAGCTGCAAGCACAGCTTATTAACATAAAAACTGATACATGTAAAGTATTGTCATATTTCAGTATTTCCTCTCATTTTATGTTACACCACAGTGAATGTGGGGGTTCTGTAACAATTTATCACATGATTTTAAAGTAGTGCTTTAGAGGGTATTCAAGTTCTATTAATTAACCTAGAAAATCAGTAATTATTTCAGCAACCTAAAATAAAGGAAATTTGCTTTCTGTGCAACTCAGAGTGGGAAGGGGGAGCTGCAGTTCCAGGCTTAGTAAAGCCTGAGATTGGTGCAGCTGGAGCAGAACAGCTCTGCAAATCCAAGCTGGTTTCACCAGGCTTAGAGATGTTCCATAAAGTGCTTTTAGGCAGAAAGTTGCTGGGCTGGAATTCACTGAGAAGCAGGAGGAGCAAAGGCACAACACAGAGCAGAGATTGGTCACAAATCCAGGTGTATTTTTATGGATGCGAGCACTGAGCACCATTCATCTGCTCCAGGGACCCTCTGTCCCCAGGGATTGGGGACAGTTAATTCCTGGAGCCCTTCAGAGGGGCAGGAGTTCCTTTGACACTGAGAGCCTCCAGGGAATCCCTGGGCACTCTGGATCCCGGAGCTCCCAGGGGCTTCTCTCTGCAAAAACAACAACAAAGGTCACAATCTCCATGAGAACAGGAGGAATAAACCTGCAGTTCCCTTGGCACATGGCTGCTGCTGGAACCCCCTTATCCTGCAGGAGAGCAGGAACTGCTTTTACCTTCTCGAGCCACCTTCCCTGGGGCTGTAATGGGCACTCCTGGACCTCGAACCTTGCACAGCTGCTCTGCTTCGGCAAGGCCTGAACTTCATGATCTCCCTCTGCCACTCCTCATCAAAGGTGCCAGCCTCGGCTGCAAAACAGACACGTTCATTTGAAATGTTAATTAAGAGAGAAAAAAAAAATTAATGAGTATTAGGGGGTTTGGGTAGTGATTTTCAGCTTTGTAGTCCACAATTCTCCACATGGCCTGCAACTGTTTTTGGAGATATGTAAAAGAGAATTTGGATTTAAAGGTGCCTTTTAGGATACCTCAAGCTGGAACCTCCAAATCAGAGTGTGAAACACTGTAAAGCTCATTAGCTGCCTAAAAAGACCTACATTCATCCAGGTTGATGAATTCTTGGTTCATCTCCTCATCCCCAGTCTTGGTGTTCTTGGATCTTCTGACGACATGAGCCCGGTCGTGGATGTGGTGACCAACAGAGATTTTCTCCAGGCCACTTTCAGAATCCTTCAGTGCTTTTCTTGTTTCTTTAACCTGTTAAAAAACAAAAAAAGGGGGGAACTGAGTGTCCTTCCAACTAAAACTGAGGTAAAAGAGTTCACAGAATCCCAGGATGGTTTGGGTTGGAAGGGACCTTAAAGCCCACCCAGTGCCACCTCTGTCATGGCAGGGACACCTCCCACTGTCCCCAGTGTCCAGCCTGGCCTTGGGCACTGCCAGGGATGCAGGGGCAGCCCCAGCTTTCCTGGAAGAATTCCCTTCCAATATCCCATCCAACCCTGCTCTCTGCTGTGGGAAGTCATTCCCACTTGTCCTGGCACTCCAGGCCCATGCAAAGGGTTAAATCCTTTAAATCCTCCCCCAACAATTTTGTATCCTTCCTTTACAAAAGTCAAGTTTTCCAGGCTTTTCCAATTCTCTCATTTCCCGTGTTGGCTGTGAACACACCAACAAAACACAAATCAAGCCTCTTTTCCTTCAGCCACCAGAGAGGAAGATGAAACAACACCTCAAGTTTTTAACTGGGTATTAATTATTGGGGAAAACCCCTGAGTTTAAAAATGCTACAGAGCCAAGGTTCCAACGTTCTCCTTGGCAACAGAAGGTGCCAAAATTCCCAGTGTGAGGAACAGCCAGTTACTGGGCTGTGGTGCTGGCCTGGAGGGCAGGCTGGCCCTTATCAGTGTGCTGGGCTATTATTAGCAGCCTTGTGATAAGGGCTGTGCTGGAGCTGGGCCATTCCCAGCCAATCCTGCCCACGGATCCTGTCTAGGCTTTCACAGCCCGGGCCAGGGTCACATTCCCAGCCCCAATTCCCAGCAGGATGAGACACAACAGCTGCAAGGGAGCTGCAGCCCAGGGTTATGTAAGTGTCTGCCCAAAGGGGTGCTTGCATAAATCAGTGCCTCTACTGGGGTTGAAGTGGACAGGAAAAGGATTCATTACAGCAAAGAGAAGGGCATTGGAAAATTGCTGCTCTGTGCTCTGCTTTCCCAGCCTTGGATAGGTCTGTAATTTATTTTGGGATGTACTTAAAGCACAAAATTACAGGGAGGAAATCAGGCCTTTAATACAGAGCAGGGTTGCAGAGCCCTGTGTTTTCCTCAATCCCTAAATTTTCTTTGTGCAGTCAAGGGGAGTCGGGCTCTGCTGAGGGAACAGGGACAGGAGGAGAGGGAACAGCCTCAGGCTGGGCCAGGGCAGGCTCAGTTGGACACCAGCAGGAATTTCCCTGGAAAGGGTGAATAAACATTGCACGGGGCTCCCAGGG